CTCCAGTCAATGGTAGCAATGTGGCCAACTATTGCTCAGCATTCTATAAACACAACCATAGTTGAGATCTAACCAAAGTCCTTTGCTATGGTAAAATTTAGACAGATTCAAGACTCTTTGCCTGGTAATAATACCAAGTGTCTAAACCAATTCTGGCTATCTTAATTCCACAGAGAAAAAAAGAATTAAAATTTTTAAGGAAAAGGTGAATGAATCCAAACTGCATCAAGACTGAGGGAAAGGCTTTAAAATATCCAAATAAAGTTATAATCCTTTTCACTTTATAAGGAAACTAGAAGTGTGTTATTATATAAAGAGCTTTGGTGGTATAGTTCATTATAATTCATAGTAATGAGAAGGATGGAGGCAGCTGCACCAAGGGAGAAAGATGGGCAGTGTCCTTTCTTACAAGTTTATAGCTTTGGGAACCCAGTGGCGAGTCATCATTGAATTGTCTTCATGGCAATAAAATTTCCAATTTATATCAATCAACAGACAACACTAAGTTATGTACTCAACACTGGGAAAAACTCTAGGGATGAATAGAATTATAGACTGACTATCCAGGTAGAAGGGAGCTCTGGTGGCTTAGTGATAAGAAGCTGCTCTGCAGTCCCAAAGGCACACCGTTCAAAACTGCCAGCTGCTCCTTGGAAGAAAAATGGGCAGTCTCCTTCCATGAGATTTACAGCCTCTGGAAACCTACTGGTGGGTCAACTATGGGTTTGTTTGAACTCGATGGTACACAACAACAACAACAACTTAGCAGGAATTTCACAGTCTACTTGAGAAAAGTTTCATTAACTGATAAGACATGTACAGCCACACTCCCACCTCTACTCTTAAAAAATATGGATAACAGGCACAGGAGAATGAGATTATAAAAATTACTTCAGAACTTTAAAGAAGTTTGGTTTTTGTGTCATGCTGCAAAGAGAAGATTCCATCAGGCAAAGGAAGGAAGAGAGTGTTAGAGAAGTCCAAACAGAAGTATGACATGAGACAACACAGATGTAAGAAACAGCTGTTATTTAGTGTGGCTGGAGATCAGAGTGCATGATGATGAGGAACAGGAGATTAGTTTAGAAAAGTAAACTCTGCTAGCAAAAGAAGGAACCATTTAAATCCTACAGAGAAGCTTGTACTCCATATATAAACAATGTGGAACCAGAGGTTTTTAGAGCAGAGAAGGAGCACTAATAACAGTTCTTTCCTTGGAAAAGTAACTGTAGGCACTACAAAAACATATATTGACGGTGGCAGGGCAAACATTTAGCAGAGTGTGTTAAATGTCTAGATAAAAAGAAAAGGAAGAATTGGAATAGTGTCAAAGAAGAAAAAAATAATGGATTTAAAAACATTTCTGAAAAGAATGTAGAGAATTTAGTAGGCAGTTTGATTCTATAGTTGAAAGAAGCTTTAGGTTTTCACTTTGTCTAACTGAGAAAATACTGAAAGGAAAGAATCAGATTTTGAAAGTTAGTAAATGAATTAAATCTGTGGAAAATATCCTTAGTGACAGAAAAATTTGGAAAGATTGCAAAATTGAAAGGATATTTGTTTGAAGGGAGAAGTATGAGATGGCAAGAGGTAAGGCTCTTAATGAATATGCATGAAATAGAAGGACGCTAAGCTTGAACCGGACATGATGGTACAAAATGTATTGGTAGTCTTCATAACTAAAGTATTGGCACCTGATCCCACAATGGTATCTTCGTAGAACAGTGCTATATGCCTTCCGGGACCCCTCCGTTTCTTCATAAAGCGAACCTCAGTGGTGCGGCATCTTCACTTAACATCTACAGTTAATGTACAGAAGGGAGATGATGATGACGATGTATACACTTCTTTTGATTCTGGTTTAAAAGCTACAAATCTTAAATTTGGAGATCTTTGAGCATTTTATTGATTTAATAGATGGAAGTTACATTTAAATTTACTAAATGCAGTAAATTACTAGGTTCGCTACTTGTTCTAGCCATGTAATTCAGAGTAAGAAGCTTTTGCTTTAGTCTATTGTGCTCCAGCTTTCAAATTCCTTTGACAGCCTGCATGTGAAATTCAAAAGCCATTAATGTGATGTGTTAATTTTGCACTTTTTGACTTACTGCAAAAAACCCTTATAGTTTCCATAGCAACAATAACCTATCCAGATTGTGTAATATTCTTTACAGTATTAAAAATAAAACTGTATGCACTTACATGAGCTTTCTTGAGTACTTCCCTTAGAGGAGCTTAGTATTGAAATACTTCTTTTTAAGAAATTTTAATTCCATATGAAAATTTTGTCTGAAAGCCAGTAAATTATTTTTTCTCAAGAATTTCTTGTGCTTAAGTTCATAGTAATAGATCCCTGATGTTGGTGTGTACCGTCGAGTCAGAACTGACCTATAGCTGACCCTCTGGCAGGTTTTCAGAGGCAGTTCATTGCACAGGAGGAGATTGCTCTTCTTTCTTCTGTGGAGTAGCTGGTGTATTTTAATCATGTGCACTCGGGATTGTAGGGCAGCTTCTTGCCACTGGACCACCAGAGCTCAGATACTACGTAGTTGATACAATTTTTGTTGTTGTTATGTGCCATCAAGTCACTTGCGACTCATAGTGACCCTATATACAATATCCCTGAACCCTGTTCTATCCTGTGCCAACCTTGTTGTCTCTGACACATCTACCCTCCTTACCCCAGTCACTGAATTAATCCATCTCATAAATGGTCTTCCTCTCTTGTGCTGTCCCTCCACACTTGTAAGCACGATGTCCTTCTCCAATTACTGGTCCCTCCTTGCAACATGTCTGAAGTATGTCAGATGAAGCCTCAGAATCCTTGCTTCAAAGGAGCAGTCGAGTTTCACCCTCTCTAGGATGAACTTGTTTGTTCTCCTGGCAGTCTGGTATATTCAGTGCTCTTCTCCAGGACGACAGCTCAAAGGCATCAATTCTCTTTTTACCAATCCTAGTTATTGTCCAGCTTTCTGTCAATTTATACACTTACATGAATTTCTTGAGTACTTCCTTTAGAGGAGCTTAGTATTGCATTATTTCTGTTTAAGAAATTTTGATTCTATATGTATGAAATGAACAGTGTAAGTATCATGAAGCATCTCAAACTCATGCTTTTACACATATACTTAGATATGTATAGGAGAGCATTTGGCTTTAATGACATTCAGTCACCTATTGTTGGTTTTTCTTAGTGGCTCCTGGGTAGTCTGAACAAAGTTTTGATTTATGTCAGAAGGAAATGGAATGGAGAAAAAGAATGAATGTGTATATGTGGGTTTTTATTTTTTACTTCGTTCTTTAATACATACCTGGTTTATCACTTTGAAAATACTAAAGATTGTTTTAGTAGGTGAATATTTTTGGAGTACCAAATTCATTTGACCTTTCCCCTCTAATTCTTATAATGAGATAATAGAATAAGTGCATTAAAATTAAAATAAGAGCCTGTAACACCACCATCTTAATGCAGCATTTTAATTTTTATAATACTTTTATGTGTGTATGTGCATTTTTACATAAATATTTGTATTCTCAATGGTATAGATATTTTTCATGTTTCTAATCATTATGGATTTCATTTTAAGAATTGCATAGCAGCCTGTCCTGTTGACATAGCTGATGATTTTTATTATCAAAATATGGTTTAATTATTTTCTGAATCACTTTTATTGGGAATATGAATATGCTTTTCAGACTGATCCTAGGAGAAAGTAACCATAGCTTAGTTGTTTAGATGAAATGTAGATAATCTTCAAAAGACATGCAAAATTATTATTTTTAAAAATTTTACTTTGCTTAAAATAGACACAGTAAACTGCTTAAAGTAGACACAGTAAACTCCACCCATTACATAGTTTCTGAACAGAATACTCAGTGACATTGGTTATATTCTTTTGCACGGTGTCCATATCTTTGTTATTTTTGTTCTAGATGTTCTGTTCTATTTCCATTTACTTAAGTTTCCCTGACTTTGTAGTGCTTTGAAATGATTGGATGACAGTCTTTACTCTCTGGGTTAAGCTGTTACTTAGTTTAAAAGGATTTCCATTCAAGATTTGAAGAACGGATGAATGTCATAATTTCAAGGATTCTTTCAGACTGAGTAGGTCCAGTAAGTCCGGATTCATATGGAATTTGAAATTCTGTTGCACATATTCCTCCTTCTTTTTAGGATACCTCTAATCTCTACCTGGTAGGAATATTCAGTAGATTAAACAATGTTTTTAAGTGTATGGTATGTTTTGTTGTTGAAGAGTACTGAATATCCCATGGACTACTAAAAAAAAACCAAACATATATGTCTTGGAGAAGGTACAGTCCGAGTGTTCCTGGGAGGCAAAGGATAAAGCTTTGTCTCACGTACTTTGATTATTTGAAGACTCTACTTGTAATTACAGGGCCATTTCTAGAGTTACCAAAAATGAAGTGTTGGTGGAAGAAATTAGAAAGCCTTTCGGAGGCTGTTGCCTTAATGTCTTGGGACCTTTGAACATCCTCTTAGATTAGAACAAGGGCATGCCATTGCGTTAACATTTTTCTATGGTTCTTTCTGCCATAAATGCTTCTGTATTATGGAATTACTTTATGAATCAAAGAGTTTATATATGCCAGTTATATTTGTTGTTACTGTTTATAACAGAATTCTTTCATAGATTCCAGGTACTAAAACAGGAGTGGAATTATCTTGCAATATGCTTGAGTTAGTATTTATGATTATGTATTCTTTGAAACTGGTGCCAGGTGTAGTATCATGTTCTGTCTCAATTTTGAATTTTGTATTTTGGCTCTGTTTGATGTTTTCATTGTTACATGAATTTCTTTTGTTATTTCAATATTTCTGTGTTTGAAATTCTTTCAAAACTATTAAGCAATGCATGACATAGTGAGAGTTTAAATAGTGAGAAGACAGTTTATTTCCATTGTTTTTTGTAGTTATATTTTAAACCTCCAAGTAATCTGTAAAAAATAATTTTCTTTTTATTTTTGTTTATGTGCAGAAAAGATGAAAAGGAATATGCCTTGAAGCAAATTGAAGGCACAGGAATATCTATGTCGGCTTGTAGAGAGATTGCAGTAAGTACATATGAATACAGTTATTTCTTTTATTGTTTTATTTTATTTCTTTCCTTCACCCTCTACTTTTCCATGCATGATATCCTTTTCCAGTGTCTGACCTTTCCAGCTAACATACAAAGTGAGATCAAGTCTCACTGTCTTTGTCTCTAAAGAACACTTCTTCTAAGGCAAATTTGTTTGTTCTTTTGGAAGTCCATGTTCTATTCAGTGTTCTTTGCTAATACCACAATTCAAAAGCATCAGTTTTTCTTAATTCTTCCTTATTATTGTCCACTTTTCGCATGCATACAAAGTGTTTGAAATGAGTATGGCTTAAGTCATTCATACTCTTGTGAAAGTGACAGCTTTTCTGTTTAATACTTTAAAGAAATCCTTAGCAACAGATTTGCTCAATGCAATAGCAGTCTCACTAGCATGTTGTATTTTAATTGAAACGCACTCATATCTGACCCTTCAATGGGTTTCTAAGGTTGTAAATTGCATGGGAGGAGACTGCCCATCTTTCTCTTTCAGAGCCCCTGGTCGACTCAGACTGCTAATAGAGGTGTAGCCGTTTGGTTACCACGCAATTCCCTACAGACTGTGCACCAGAATTAGTGCCTCATAAATGATTGTTGAATGGTGAAATTGCAGCAGCAGCAGCAGCAATCTGGTGTTTATGGTTCTGAGTTCTTTTTATAATAAAAATTTATTTGAAAATTTCAAATTGGGGCTTTCCCATTAATTATAAATGTGTACTTGTAATGCCTTATCAAAATAAGGATTTGATTAGTGATTTTTTAAATCTGAAAGTTCTTACATTTTATTATCTCAGCCAACATGATTATCATTGGTATGTTTTTCACTTTTTACAGTTGATTTTTCAGCCTCACTTTTCATGACTTAATGGGATAAATAATTGATTGTTTTGAGGGGCATGGTGGTTGCTTGTGTGTGAGCCTGTAAAAAAGCATAACAAATTTTGTAGGCTTTAAATTTACATAGTTCATTATATATTAACTGTAAGAACATTGAAGAGACTCAATAATAAGGTAAGTTATTGTTCATCTATCCAGGGGTGAGTGAAAGAGAAATTTTGGAGAACCAACGAATAGAAATTCAAACAGTTCCTTGAATAGGAAGTAAAACAGTTTATCTTCTGAAATTGCATAGAAGGGGGAAATGATATAATTGTAAAGCTTGGTTGCTTCTTCTTGTGTAAGTGCTTAGTGTTGAGAGTTTGAAATAATTGAAGAAGGGTGTGTAAAAAGTTTGTGATCATAACTAAGAGTATAATAAATATGATGTTGGGTGCTGTCAGGTGAAGCACTTACTACTCATAGGGACGCTGTGAACTACCTACCTGAACCCTGTACTATCCCGTGCATCCTTATTGTTTCTGCACACTTGGGTTCATTGCCGCAGTAGTTTTATCAGTCCATCTTGCTGAGGGTCTTCCTCTTTTACGTCATCCCTCCACTTTTCCAAGCATGATGTTCCTTTCCAAAGAATAGCCCCTCCTAGCAACATGCTGAAAGTATGTGAGTCGAAGCTTTGCCATCTTGCTTTCAAGGAACATTGTAGTTGCAGCCAACCTGAAGTAGGAAACCAGTCACATCACCAGTCTATATGATTGTACGGCTTTTCTCTAACAGTACAATGTGAGGAGAAAAAAATTGGAGCTTTGCTGGTTAATGTCAGAGAAGGGATTTGAAAGTTAAGTTAAGGGCTGAGAGAGAAGAATGGAGCCAACATCATAAAATTAAAAAGCAGG